TTGTGTAATACACACACACACACACACACACACACACACAAAATTCCTCTTTTATTATTATAATATATTTATTTAATATATTTATTTAAAAAGTTATTATTTATTTATTTCATTTTTATGCGTAAAGAGATATATTTTATTGTGTAAAATATTCTTACTCTTATTTATTACTTTGCACACAATATTTAAATAGATATCTTGCTTAGAGCGATATTTGATTATTATGTATCATATATTACGTAATATCGTTGCATGTAAAAAGTACATTTATCGTAGGCAAAAGGAATAAGTAAGCTAGTATTTTAAAATACTAGCACAATAGATTTTTTGCTGGAAAATACAGAAAGAGGATTTCGTTTGCTTTCAGATCGAAAACTGCTGAGTTAGGTAAACGTTTGATTAAAGTTTGAGAATACGTTCCACGTTTTGACGGAGAACGCTACATACACTAGGAAATGCCGCTTTTGTCCCTAGAATATTTCCGCTTATTTCTTTATAGCCGGAATCCGCGCTATTTCTTTGGATAGACAGTGCTTATGTCTGGCTGGTCTCGATCACGTTGCGTATCAAGAATTCCTCGTGAAATTGCACGCGAATGTTCACGGAAGCTGGATCGATCTCGGAAACGATAGCGAATATTTCCGCGAAAGTGCATATGAACGTACGAGGAATTCGCGAGGACAAATCGATTGCGGTAGTACATATTTACTACACTGTTGCAACAACTAAGTTGTAACGTATTCATAATTTTGTTGTGTCGTTTTGCCAACGAAACTCAGAGCGAATGACTGGGATTAAATATTGAGATTGAAAGATCAGATCGCAAAAAAATCGATAGCCAAAAGATAGAATGCTGTTTTACGTTTTAATTCTTGAATTGACGATAGGAAGCTTGACACTTTGATTCTATGGAAAAATCAAGCTATTTTTTATGCATGCTCTAAGAATAAAAAATTGGATTTATATGATTTTTCATAATGTATTGTAATATTTAGATCATATTAACCTTTAAGGTTCGTTTTCACAATATATGATTACTTACAAATTAAAGGTTACCAATAGATTCATTAATGATGAATCTATTAGTAACCTTTAATTTTTCATTATTCATGAATTTCTTGGTTACCTTCAATTTTTAAGTAACCATATATTGTGAAATCGGACCTAAATGTATAGGCCACAGCATCTCAAGTATAGTTTTTTAAAATCTTGTTCTAAATAAAAGGAAAATAAAAAGTATTGCTCAGATGCTCAGAAATCTTAAAGTTCATTATTTTTACACAGTTTTCTATTCTATAAAGATAACTATTATATAATATAAATTTAATTATAACATAATATGCTAGTAAAAAATATAGCTATAATATTAGGTGTTGGAATTAATTCGTAGCGTTTTTTAATGAAAGAATGTTATTTATTTCACATGAGCATTAAAAAATACATTAATGAAAGTACTTCCCATCACTTGTAAAACGCTACGAATTAATTCCAACACCTAATATAAAACTTTTTGGAGTGTTTTGAATGCTCTATCCATCTTTAATCCATCTACCTTATACTTAAAAGTTAAGAGGATTAATCATTATTTCTCATTTGGATTTTTGTTCAAGTTTAAAATTTTGATTTTTTTTATAGATGAATATAATAATGTGTTCGAATTAAGTTCAGGATATTTATATTAGAGATATATTAGCGATAGATTTCGCTAATGGGGAGGCATCTGAAATTTTAAACGATGCGTGAAATTTTAAACGATGACATGACGCAGGAATGTGACATATAATATTTAAAATTAAAACAAAGCAAGAACGATAGTAGACGATAGTTCTCGGTAAATCGGTAAATGCAGGTCTTACCAGGCGAACGTATATATTTGTAATAGCCGCTACCGGCAGTAAGTGAAGGCCAGCTCTTGTGGCTCAATTATATCGGATAACCGCGTTGTCCTCGGCAACAAAAGCAACGCTCCATCGGAGTATCGATATATTGTCAGAGAGGGGCCGATTAAGTGGGCCATTTCCGAGTGCTCGTTGCTCTGTCTATTGTTTCCGAGAGAGGCCCATTTGCCACTCTCGTCCGCACGTTCTCGCTGGCCGAGCGTGAGTGAAAACAAAAAAAAAACAGACGGCCGAATGAATTTTTCAACGGACTGTTACACCGGATTACCTTGGTCAGGTGATCATTGTTGTTTTACCTTTTGTTGTTGTACTCGATAACAAGGAGCAGGTAAATATTTTTGAAGCGTTTTATGTAACCACTAGCTGCAAAATGTAATGAAGAGTTTTGCGGAGTCACTATCTTGCAATTATTTTGTCCGACTGACGATGAGAACCACGTGAGATTAGTAGGATATTTTATTGGTTATCATAACAATGACATACACTCGTCAGAGTGTCAGGCATTTTAACTCTCTGAAATCTGTATCTTTTTTGGCTTAAGCGAAATTTTATTCTGAAATTTCTCCTAAAGACGGACGGATTAAATGAAGATTTTAATATTTTACATTTAATATTTTTAACATTTCAATTAAAAAATTATTTGGTAACAGAAATGCTGGAAAGTAACCCTTTTTCACATTTTTTTAATACCTAAAAGATTGCCGTAATTGATAATACAATAGATAAAAAATGCGTTAATAGAGATAGGATTTCATTTTGAATAATAAAAAAATTTTGGTAAAAAAAAATCTAAATTGCAGATGGAGAGCTACGATACAATATCTGCAAGAGAAAGTGCCTAAAGAAATTATAGAATTTGAAGACTGATTAACGTAATATTATTCGATATTCCTCCGTCATAATCTGATAGCAGAAATTTTTAATACCGCACGTATCAAAATGATGAAAATGATGAAATACTATCTCTATTAGTGCATTTTTTATCTATCATGATATCAATTACGGCAATCTTTGTTCAACCTTTTAAGCAACTTTTTCCCTTGCAGGATGAAGCTCGTTCCAGAGAATCTAGACGAGGCTCGCTTTGATAAGGCTCATTAAATGAGAGTACATAAAAAGTACTTTGAGTGGCACGAATCAAATGAAATTATCTACGAACACGACTCTGCCATGCGGTAATACCACCTTTTTATAGACCATTATGTAATTATGAGCTCTTCGCTCACTTTGCCCTGCTAATTTTTTATGCACATTTGACTTTAATTGGAACATTTTAAATGAATAAAAGATTGAACGGAAGTTAAAGAGAAGCTTTTTGCAAGGGCTATGGAAAGCTTTCTACTGCATTTGAAAATTTATTGTCAGACACTTGTCGAAGGCATTGCACTTGATTGCAAGTGAATGGATAACAGTGATTCCATTATGTTCTGTATAATTAGAAATTATAATAATATTGCGAGATATATTCGAAACAGTATGTGTTTGAACAATTATAAGTGGAAATTAGACCGATAAAAATAAAAAATAAGAGAATCTTTAGATTTTCCATTGCAAATCGTGATGCTTAATAGTAATTCATAAATAGACTACAAATTATTACGTTTTTCTATACAAATTGCATGCCGATTTAGTTTGTAAGACTAGTAGGAAACGTAATCGTAAATTAAAATATTATACTATTACAAATTATATTCATCGTCAATTTAATAATGATATTAATAATCATTTTAAAATACTGCAAAGAATTTATTATAAAAAATATCACTTCAACCAGAGTAAACTCCTGACTTTCCGAAACGGACGTCTTACTAATTTGATCATCGAGGTATGAGATAATTGTCGCGATAATTATAGCAAGAGAAAATTATTTTTTTCAAGGAAATACACAATAGGAAGTATACACAATAAGAATAAATCAAATTAAAAAGATTCTTTAATCGAAGCGGATCTTGGTGTTTAATATATGCATTTGTATGCGTGATCACAATCCTATATGTATAGTTCCATGAATGACATACAAAATTGATCAGTCGATCTGTTGGGATTGCAGAGATCAGCAATTTTGAAAAGGAAGAAGAATATCTCAATATCCTTCGAGCACAAATTTATATGAGCAAAGAATATACTTTTCTATTGTTACAGCCCGATGAATGCTTTCTGGATATGTATCGGATATTAGCTTAGTATCGAATTTCTTTATTTCACAATGAAGTGCTATTACGACGACTCACATTTACGTTGCACGTACGCGTACTTATCTGTGTAAAAGTGCGAAAGTGATATTAAAGGAGACTAGAAACCTGCATTGCACGTACAACGTATATTCCTCGATTAAAATTGCAGCAAACACCTATAGTCCTTTTGTGGTTCGCAATAAAATTTATATAATATTTATTGTTCATTTTATGTGAATTATAATTGTTGCAGAATTTTCATTGTGTAAGACATTTAATTAATAGTGCATATAATAAAAAAATAAAAAGAAGGAGAAAAATCTAATTTGCGATTATTTTTTATAATAATTAGAACTTGCTCAATTAAAGTAATCACCTTATCACTCGCAGTTAATAAAATCTGAGCTTAATTTTGCCATA